GTGCAATCCCACTGTGTGTGTGTGTGTGTGTGTTTGTGTGTTGTGTGTGTGTGTGTGTATATGTTTTGCTTTTCACAATGTCCCACAGGTCTCTAGCCCAATTCATTTTCTTCAGTATTTTTTCCTTTCTTTTCTTCAGATTATGTAATTATTATATAATCTTTTCTCTTTCTTCTTGTGCTGGTAATTGAAACTAGGACCTTGTATGTCAGGCAGTTGCTGTGCCACTAAGTTACATCCCCTGCCCTATTGTTCTGGCTTAATGTTCTCATTTTTTCCCCCTCTGCCAACTCTAATCTGAAGTTGGGTTGTTCTAGAGAATTTTTCATTTTCTGAATAGTATTTTCAACTCTGGAATTTCCATTTATTATTTATAATTTATGCCTCTTTATTGTTATTCTCTATTTGTTGAATTACTGGAGATGTAGTTTAGGCTGGGGATGGAGGTCAAGTGACATAGCACCTAGCTGGCAAGTGTGAGGCCCTGAGCTCAATTCCCAGTGCCAAAAACAAAATAAGTTTCTCACTAGAGTTTAATCCCTGGTACCCCCCCAAAGTTTCCCTATCTGTTGTGTCATTCATACTGTGCTTTCCTTTAATTCTTTAGACAGAGTCCCCCCTTTTCAAAATGTATTAGTTGCTTTGAAGTCTTTGTTTCCTAAGTCCAATATGTGGAACCCATAGGGGTTGTTACTGTTTATTTAGGGTCTTGAAGACTAATTCTGTGGTTCTGTTTTCCCCACAGTGTGCCACTACTGCTAACTCTTCATTGACATTTTCTATTTTAAGCCCTGACTTCATGGGGGTTACCCTTAGATTAGTATAGCTTAGTGTTCAGCCAGTAAGTAGTTTTGCTTAAATATCCTCATCCAGTAATGATCTCACTATTTCTTGATGAATCTGTCTGCAATTTGAGGAATGTATTCAAAGTTTCAGAAGTTTAAAAGTCTGTCTTAGCTTTTACTTTTTGTGTTTTCAAGGCCTTGCATTCAGCCAGGTCAGAGTAAGATAGCTGTGACCCTCTTTTTCATTATCTTGAGTGTTCCTTTTTTTTTTTTGCGGAACTGGGGATTGAATTTAGGACCTTGCACTTGCAAGGCAGGTGGGGTGCCACTGAGCTAAATCCCCGGCCCACTTCTGAGCATTCTTGAAGCTTATGTAAACATACAGCCTTCCACACTGTGAAATCTAGCCTTCCTGGAAGATATGAAGTTCAACTAAAGCCTACTATGATTACCATGCCTTTGAAGGGGTACTAAATTCTATTTAAAAACCTTAAAATCTGGACCCTAAACCTTAGGAGGACTTTGACTTCTGACACTTTTTCCACTGAAAGACAATTAAAAAGACTACAGCAAGGACCTAGCATGATAATAAGAGAATACTGGGCAAAAATTAAGACATGAATTAAGTTCAAAAAGGGTAACCAAGCTGCTTCAGCCTCTGACAGTTTGCTTATTCAACTATGGCAGTGAGGAGGTGGAACTGAGCTTTGACTGATTCTCAAGGCTGAAGTTCAGGAGCCAGAGGTATTTTGTACATAATGGATGCTAAATAGATATTTTTGAATGAATAAATAAATGGATAGGATGATTTGGACTTTGGATTTTTTAGAGACCAATGGTATAAATGGTCATGTAAAAATTATTTTTTACCTTTAAAGACAAAAATTAAACTCAAGACATAATATATAGGAGAAAATAGACCCATGTGTATTATTAGTTAGAAATGTAATATCTTTCAAGTAGAGATTTAAGCAAAATGCTTTTCCCTCCAAAAAATATTAAAACTTTTTATTGTAAAAATTTGAAGCATATGCAGAAGTAGAGATGATAGTATGATGAAACGCATGTGCCTATTACTCAACTTCAGCAATCAACTGCTGGCTACCCTGACCCACTCCAAATTAGTTTGAAGCAGTTTTCCAGCATAATAGGATTTCATGAGTAGACATTTCCGATTACAGTTGATTTTCATTATTCACAGTAGTTATGTTCTATAAAGTCACTACACATATTGAATTACTGAATGTTGAATTATTGCTTCTTGACAACCTACAAGGTTAGGTTTCTCCAGTCCTCTGATTATATTTTCATAAGGCAGTCAGTGCATAATGTTGTTTTATGTGTGTTTCTTTTGAAAGACATCTTATTTAATATATGTTGTTGATTTGTTAACGTTGAGCTAATAACCAACAGCCCTTTAGCCGGGCGTGGTGGCGCACGTCTGTAATCCCAGTACTCGGGAGACTGAGGCAGGAGGACTGCTGGAAGTTTGAGACTAGCCTGGGCTACATAGTGAGTTCCAAGTCAGACTCAACTACATAGTGAGACCCTGTCTCAAAAAACAAAAAACAGCAACAACAACAACAAAAAAACCAACAGCCCTTTAACTCACGACTGAACAAAGTTTATCCAACACATATTTTCTCCATAAGGCACATTGCATCACATGGAGGCTATTTTTAAAACATCAGAATCATAGTGTACATGGGGCTGGGGATGTAGCTAAGTGGTGCTGCACCTGCCTGGCAAGCGCAAGGTCCTGAGTTTGATTCCCGGTACCCAAAAGAATCATAGTATACAGCAAAAAATATTCCAGTAAGGAAATCATAAGAAGGAAAATTGCTTATAGTCTGAGAGCTGAAACAATAAGTCAGAACATCATTTTGTTTGACCTCAGTTGGAACTGTGCATGTTTTGTCAACTCAGATTTTTTTGCTATTCTGCCTGCACTTGCTTGCAAGTGACCATAAAACTCCTGCAAGGTTTGACTTTAGAGTTAGAAATAAATTGTATCAAGTAGACAAATTTACAAATATGAAATTTGCAAATAATGTGATTTTACAAAGTTTTGGGTGTTTTGGTGTTTTGTTTTTTAATGCAGTAGTGGGAATTGAACCCAGGGCCTCTTGCATGCAGGGCAGGTGTTCTACCACTGAGATACATCCATATCCCTGAGTATCTTTTATTAAAGGTAAAAACTCCCTTTTGAAAATATCACCACTGTATAGTCTTTTTAAAATTGATAATACTTTAATATCACATAGTATCTACTCAATATTTAAATTTCCCAGTTGTCTCATAAATTTTTTAAAAGTTGAATTTGTTCAAGTTGGGATCCAAATGAAATCTATATAGCACAACTGGTTGAAATATTTTTCAAGTTTCTCTATATCAGTAGGCTTCCCACTCATATTTCCTTTTATTACTTAGAGACTGTGTTGATTATCCTGTAGAATTTTTTACAGTCTAGTGCCTTCCCACCCCTGTCCTGAGGATTGAATTCAGGGTCTTACACATGCTAAGCAAGTGCTCAACCACTGGTCTGTATCTCCAGCCCTAGATTTTGATTATATTTCCATGCTTTTGAGTAGCATATTGGTCTCTTTTTTAAACTTCCTGCAGATCAACTTAATCAGATTCATTTCAGGCTTTTGGCAAGATGACTTCATAGGATTGATTCTTTTCCTTTATTTACTAATGTTCAAAATAATGAACTGATTTCTTAGATTCATTGTCTACAGGCGATAGATGAAATCTCTTCCTCAGGGTCAGGGGGCATATAACATGAATTCATGGGTTTAAAGATCCAAGTGTATGTATTTCAGTCCCTTGCAGTTCTTATTCTTTTTTAAGTTTTAAGTGTTTCCCATTGGTAGCCAGTGAATATCTTTGCATCGTAGCTTTTGAGGGTTTTGTGTGTGTGTGTGTGTGTGTGTGTGTGTGTGTGTGTTTTAACATTATCCTTGTTTTTCTTTCTGGTATGACCAGGTTTTGTTTATTTGTTTGTCTTTTGATACTGGGGATTGAATGCAGAACCTTATGCTTGAGGCAGGTGTGGTCAAACTGAGCTAAATCCCGGCCCCTGATTAGACCAGATTTTATAGATTCATTATCAACATGTTTTGACCAACACATGAAATTAGACTTTTCTCTAAAAAGTTGTAGTTTGAGGGAAGTGGTGGGGAAGTTTAAGTGCTATAATCTGCGTCCTAGTTGTATTCATTACTACTGGGTTCATATATTAAGAAGACAGGTTAAGTAGAAATATGATTCTTATTTTTAATAAAGAAAAATGAATTGTGTGTTTGTGTATTTGACCCCCCCCTTCCTCCCTTAACAGATAGTACATACTTTGAGTTTTTTGCTGTTATCATTAATGATGTAAAGCCTCATGTATACTCCTTTATGTGTTTCTATTATTGAGTCTTTGTGATAGATTTCTAGAAATATGATCACAAGTTCAAAAGGTAAATGTGTATAGTTTTTAAAGAAATTCCCAAATTCCCTGCTGTGGACTTGCACTATTTTACATGCTCAACAACAGTGTATCAGCTTGCGTGTTTCCCTGTAGCGTCACCAATGCATATGCTGTCCAACTTTTGTGAGATTTTTTTTATTTGCTAATGTAATAGATGAGAAATGCTACATCAATGTGGTTTTATTCTCTTATGATTGAATATCTCTTCATATGCTTAAGGTCATTTGCATTTTTAAAAATAACAACTGGCTGAAACCTTCTGTATATTAAAATTTTTCCTACCTTCTGGGTTGTAAGTCAGGTGGATGTAATTTTTCTATTCTCAGATAATGAAGAAGTTCATTCTTATCTAGAAATCACATGACTTTCAGGTACTCTGATTCATTTGATTATATATATTTAGAGAGAGAGTGAGAAATTGAATCAATTTTATCTTTTTCTAAATGTTTTGTTATCTTGATACCATTTATTGAAAAGTCCATTTTTCTCCCACTAATTTAACATGCTACCTTCACTATGTATTTCCACATTCACATTTGGAGGTGGACTGTTGGAACTATCCTGAGTGATCACAGGGCAGGCTGAAAGGGTGGAATTTAGGAAGGAAAAGAATAATAATGATCTTTGAGATCCTGAAAAATAATTTATTGTAGCCAAAGATTATCTATAAAAAGTATACCGTGTGTTTATTTGTTAAGTTTTCAGTAAATTCCTTCTCTCCCTTTTTTATCTTGTAGCACCATGTATGTGTTTGGTGGTTTCAACAGTCTACTCCTTAGTGACATCTTGATGTTTACCTCGGAACAGTGTGAAACACACCAGAGTGAAGCTGCTTGTGTAGCAGCAGGACCTGGTATCCGGTGTATGTGGGATGCGGAAACATCTCAGTGTGTCTCCTGGGAATTGGCAACAGAAGAGCAAGCCAAAAAGTTAAAATCAGAATGTTTTTCCAAAAGAAGTATGTTTTTCCCTGCTTAGAATTTAATTAGGGATCCAGTTTTATTTGAATGATGAAGGAACTGAGCACATGTACACTTTCGTTATTCCCTTCACTTTCCATAATTATTTAGTAATACTTGCACAAAGCTTTTTTGGGTATTTGAAATTTGTTTTATAAACAATAGGTAAAAACATGCCGTGTGGCTCCTAGAAGCTCTTTGCAAGTGATAGAGGCAAAACTTCCTTGGGATTTTATAGGCTTTGTACCCCAGCTTCAGAACGTGGCTGCATTTGGTCTGAACTTTTTTTGATGATGAAGATACGTAGCTGTGCTCTTCCATCACGGTAGCAGCCTCACATGGGGCTGTCAGACACCTGAAATGTGGCTAATGTGATAGAAGAACTACATTTTCTTATTTTAATTTTAGTTAAAAACTACATGTGTCTAATAGCTAGCATTAAGGATGAGATTAGGAGGGTCAACCCAGAAAAACCACGTTATGGTAAATTGTTCTGGTGGGTAGAGATAGACTCATCTCACAACGTATTTTCCAGCTCTTGTAATTGGTTACAACAGTGATAGGGAGACAAAGTTGCTGAAGATGAGCAGTGATCCCCACTTTTAAAACCTTTCCCCAGGTTTCCCAAGCTTTCTTCATCCTTCCTTCTTTCAAGTATCCTTTGTTCATACTTAGCTCTTTGCCCTTTTTCTCTGACGTAGAGTACGGAGCAACACAGTGAACTAAGCTGTGAGAAATAGTCCTTTCAAAGGAGGAAAAATATCTCTGCAAAATATTTGTTCACATCAATTAAAGTATATTCACGGAATTCCTTACCTAATAGGATTAGTGTTGCAGAAATGAGAGTTATAGTTCACAGAGCCAGATTTTACTTCCCTGGGTTGCTCCAGATGAAGTTGTGCAGGAGCATAAGTCCTCAGTAAGGACTAGATAGCCTTCCCAGGTTCATTGATGAAGAACAGAGATTACTGGAAACTGGTAGGATTAGTTACTGTCTCCATAAGAGGAATAATTAGTTTTTAATCAAAATGTTAAAAGTTCAAATTAAATGTTCAAGTATATTGGAAATAATTTATCCTAAATGGTTCAGTATGAACTCATCTCATCTTGGATGTTGAGTCAGTGTTTTGTTCAATCTCTGGACGGGCCTAATCCTTTCAATGATGACCAGAGTAGGAAGAACAACCTAGAGGGCCTTTGCTTTTTTTGTTACTGGACTCCACCATACCCATAAGATGGTTCAACAGATGAGGCAGCATGGTTGTCCAGTTTCTCTTTTCTGAGGTCAAAAGAAAGTACCATCAGGTCTGTAGCAGTCCGTAAGTTCTGAGACTTGCGTTTTTTTTTTTTTCTTTTTGTGGTACTGGAAAGTGAACCCAAAGCCTTTAAGCTACATCGCCAGCACTTTATTTATATATACATACATACAGTATATGAAATGTATAATCTATAACATACAATATATTCTATAGACTATATTATATGAAATATATCTGATATATAGAAATATATATCATGAATATGAGACATGCAAATGCATATAAGTATATATTATAAATAAACATACATAAATTGTGTTCGTTTTCTCTCGTTGCTGAGACAAAATACCTGACATCCAAAGTTAGAGGGGAAGGAGTTTATTTGGCTTACAGTTCATAGAAGTTGCAGTCTGTAGTCAGCTGGCTGTAAGACAAGAGTGGCAAACAGACATCACAGAGGAGAAACAGCAGGGAATGTACAAGGTAGCAAAGGCGACCAGGGAGTTTAACAGCATCTTTCTGCCCCTTTGATCTTATTCAGACTACTTAGGGCGGGTAGCACTCATACCCTTCATCCTAGTGCCCTTGAGCTTAGCATTGCATCATGAGTCAATTCCAGCTTCACACACACTAGATCAAGCCTATGACCATATGAGGCTTTGGGGAGACATCTAGACCCAAACCATAACAAATATACATCATGTATAAAAATATATATCCTATATCTAAATATACATCATATATGTTATATAGATATAGATATATGTATATAACAATGTATCTGTATATTTGAGACACGATTTCACTAAATCACTGATCTGTCCAGGCTGGGCTTGAACTTCCCGCATCAGCTTCCCAGAGTATTGGAATTACACGTGCCACCACACTCAGCTGCGATTACACTCTTGAATTCACATTTATATGTACAAAATACTCAGCTAGTATCTACTTTGGGGATCTCTGGCACTCTATTGCCTATGCCCAAACTAATCTTGCTTTTGTAACTGGGAGGGATGGCATGGTCTCCTGTATTGCTTTCTTTGGCTCCTGGAAAACTTCTAGTGTGTATTCTCTAGTTTCTTTCAGAAGAAAAGTATTCAAAGACCTAGACTTTCACTATATCCTATAGTTGTTAAATTTACTTGTCTTTGCTTTCCATTTTCTGTATTCTTTTGTACAAAACAGTATTTCTTTATATTTATTTCTAAATTCTGTCATAACTTGAACATCCCAATACATTTCAGTTTCACTCTTCATTTTACTTTCCAACTACTATATTATTATGATTATTTAAATTGTATCATATTATTCTTAACAGAAACAGTCACAGTTAATAAGTTTTTCTTCTCTTTATAGCTCTGGACCATGACAAATGTGACCAAAATACAGATTGCTACAGCTGCACAGCCAACACCAACGACTGCCACTGGTGCAATGACCATTGTGTCCCTAGGAACCACAGCTGCACAGAAGGCCAGGTCAGGTGCTGTTTCTCAAGGATAAAGTAAAGGATAGAAAAATTCCATTTGGGCTTAGGAAGAAATTGGATAATATGGCAAACATAATGACCCAGAATTGTTTTTATTTTTTTATTTTTTTTTAAATTTCAAATTTATTAATTTCATATACAACCTTTATGAAATCCCTCTCGTTTTTTTCTCTTGGTTTTTTTTTTATGACCCAGAATTGTTTTTATTTTTTTATTTTTTTTTAAATTTCAAATTTATTAATTTCATATACAACCTTTATGAAATCCCTCTCGGTTTTTTCTCTTGTTTTTTTTCAGCTTTAATTGAGTTTATTGGTACATTTTAGGGATACAGTACAGTTACATTCATTGTTGGGATCTTGTACCTCTACATGACAAGTCTTGATTCTCATTTTTTCCCCTTACCTCTGCCCTCCCTTCACCCCTTCCTCCCTTCCCCATCTACAAACACTTTATTTTCATCTCTTCAAACTTTTCAATGAAATCGAAAGGGAAGCTATACTTCCAAATTCATTCCTGGAAGCAAGTATCACTTTGATTCCCAAACCAGGGAAAGATACAACTAAAAAGGAGAACTACAGACCAATCTCCTTAATGAATATAGATGTAAAAATCCTTAATAAGATACTAGCAAACAGAATACAGAGGATTATTAGGAAGATCATCCATCCTGACCAAGTCGGATTTATTCCAGAGATGCAAGGGTGGTTCAACATACGAAAGTCAATAAATGTAATACATTATATTAACAAAGTCAAGGACAAAAACCATATGATCCTCTCAATAGATGCAGAAAAAGCATTTGATAAAATTCAACACCCATTCATGATAAAAACCCTGCAAAAAATTGGAATAGATGGTCTATACCTCAATTTAATAAAGGCTATCTATGAAAAACCATCAGCCAACATCATATTGAATGGCCAAAAACTGAAAACCTTCATGTTAAAATCAGGAACAAGACAAGGATGCCCATTATCATCACTTCTCTTCAAAAAATGTGACAGAATTGTTTTTAAATGGGAAGTGGATTTGGATTTTATTATCGTTCAGCTTTCTTTTAGGGAAGGATGCTTTGTGCATCCTGATTCCAAGGGTCTCACTAGCCACAGGGTGTGTGTGTAGTGTGACAGAAGGAGGTAGTAGTGTTGTGTAAGGACTGTTGCCCCTGGGCTTGGCTGGGGCCAAGTACCAGCTGCTGGGTATGAGGCTTGCAATGGTGAGCTCATTCTGCCTGTGTGAGGTTTCAGGAGAAAGTTAGGGTTTGAGGCAGATGTACAGTGGCCCACATTGACTTATGGAGATGATAGGTTTTGCCAAATATCCTTGTCATATTTGTATCTTGGTCAGCATAACAAGCACACACATGCACACACATGTTTTATCAGCCTATTTTTAAATATTTGCACTATTGGAGATTAAACCCACAGCCTCAGCTAGGCAAGCACTCTACCACACCCCTAGTTCTTACTTTGTTTTGAGACAGAGTCTTACTAAATTGCCCAAGCTGACCTCAGATTTGCAACCCTTCTGCCTTACTCCTGAATAGCTGAGATTACAGGCCTATCTTACCACATTTAGGTTTTTGAGGTAAGATTCTTTTTTGGCCAATTTAATGCAGTTTATAAAATAGAAAACGTTTAGATTGTTAGGGGAACATTCGAAAAGCAACAAGTTTAACTTTCTCATTTTATAGATGAGGAGGTGAGACATGGCACTTTTCCCCACATTTTCCAGGTTGTGAAAGTTAGCCAGGATTATCTGGGGCATGGTTCTAAGCTGCATTAGTGGAGCAAATACAAAATGCTGTCCTCCCAGGCCAAAAGGCAGTGTGCACACCTGTCTGAGTCACTGCCTCCTCCAGCAACCAGGCAGGCATATCTCCTGCACCATGGTACAGGTCAAACCAGGACATCAAGGTGGCTCTTCTCTGACCAATAGTGATTGTACCCACCTGGTGATGCTCAGGTGAGCAGCAGAGCTGGAGTGTAGGCCAGACCTCCACACTGCACTCGGACACAGGGCTAGCTTATTGAGAGGCAGCTGAGCCTTAATACTGACAGTGGGTGTGGTGGATATCGAGAAGAGATCTACTCAGATGTGGGCAGGTGCTGCATCACCCCACTGCTGGAGCTTGACCAATCTCAGAATATCAAGGCATGACAATTTTAAAGAGTGGGCTGCTACCTTGCCAGGTAAAGGCATGTCCTTGACCAGAACATTCCACTGCAGTGCTTCTGCCACAGTGCTGCCTCATCTGCGTCTGATTTATGTAGCTATCTCTTTATTTGCTGTTTGCTCCTCAGTTAGACTTTGTTATCTTTAGTATCTTACTGGTCTTCTCCGTGAGTTCTATGTGTACATATAAGACAAAAGCTTTTGTCTGTTGTGTTCTAGATCTCCATTTTCAAGTATGAGAATTGCCCCAAGGATAACCCCATGTACTACTGTAATAAGAAGACCAGTTGCCGAAGTTGTGCCCTTGACCAGAACTGCCAGTGGGAGCCCCGGAATCAGGAGTGCATTGCGCTGCCTGGTAAGTCATGTAGGGGTACCTCTTATGTGGGTCCGTAATTCCAGCCCTGTATTTGGAAGTTAGAAATGTGTCTTATGCCCTCACCACATCCTAATGAAACACCAGGAATTCAAATCACAAGGATCATTTATCTATTCAGTAATTTAAACTAGTAATATAGTAACATAGTAGTTTCATGATTCTTAAAACTTTTTTTTTCTTTCTACTTTGCATAAGAAAACATTTGTGGCATGGGCTGGCATTTGGTTGGAAATTCATGTTTGAAAATTACTACTGCCAAGGAGAATTATGACAATGCTAAATTGTCCTGTAGAAATCACAATGCCTTTTTGGCTTCTCTAACAACTCAGAAGAAGGTGGAATTTGTCCTTAAGCAGCTGCGAATGATGCAGGCATCACAGACCATGGTGAGTTAACATCCTCAGAACTTTAGTTTCTAGTACTCACCTTTTACTGAGGGCCTGATGTCAGCCTGTGATATGCTTGGCCAGAGGGGAAATGCTAATACACTCAGTGTCTTCCTTTACTGCCTCTTTTCTATCTTATAATTTTTAATATTTTGTATGTTTTTGATAGTCATATCTATCATAAGATAGATGAATAACCTGTAGAACAAATAGTAACATGTATGTATATATTCACAGTCTCTAGTGAGTTCAGTAAATAATCTCATACCTGTTATTGCTAGATTCTGCAGGGGGGTAGTGAAAGAGCTCACAGCTAATTAGTTACATTAGATTAAGCCACTTGCATCCCTTAGATTTAAGGTGTTATTATAGCACATAATAGGATTACCAGTAGGAAATGCATTTGGGCTTTTCTTAGACCAAGCCAACCCAAAAGAAGAGGACACCTTCTTTTTTAAGATTTCTGAGCTTGGAAAGGTTCATGTTCCCTCCCTTCCTGCTCCCACCACCACCACCCCACTCTTGAGCTCTTGGGTAACGTATAGTCAAGTTAATAATATCATATTGTCCTTTTTAGTTCAAAGTCCAAGAACTATGTTCCTACCTTTAGTTAACTATGTGTTTATGTAACGAAGCTCTTCTAGCAGTGTGGGTTGTAGTACAGAGAAATTTAGAAGAAATATTCATGTCAAGCACAGAGGAGTGGAGGGCAACACTTTCTTGGGTGGAGCCATCTTCATGTGACAATGCAGAAGTGTGGCCTGGGTCCTGGCTACATGAGCCTATGTATACCATCTAAAGGGCCATTCTGAGGCTGCTAGAAGGTAATCCTGCATTTTACTTTTATCCTTTTTTCCCAGTGTAACGTTGACATGCTGTGGACACTCAGACATTGCTCTTCTATTCTTAGTGTGCTTGCCTTAGGGGATATCAGGTCTATGTTTGGAATTTTATGATATTTTGGTGGCTTTTTCAAGTTTCTTTTTTAATCTGGAGTTTGTTGGTACTTTTTAAGTACACAGTACAGTTACATTCATCATCGGGATCTTGTACCTTTACATGACAGATCTTGGTTCTCATATTTCCCCATGCCCCCGTCCTCCCTTTACTCCCTCCACCCTCCTCTATTTACAAAGACTTTGTTTCCATTTTTCCTTTTCTCATATTTTTTCTTTTCCCTTGTTTCCTTTCCCCTACCCTTCCCACACTTTTTCAAGTCTCCATCAGAGACTGTTGTTTCTCTTCTCACCCCCAAATGTGGGCTGTCCCAGCATTCTGTATTTGGCAATCAGCTGACCTTAGCCGTGGTTATTCACTCCCTCAGGAAATGAATGTCAGGCTCACAGCTTTGCCCATTATGCTGGGATCTCTTCCAGTGACACAGGTTTACTTTTCTGAAAGACTTCCTGGTTAGAAATGTTTGACTGCCCCTGCTAGCCACAGGTGTACCTCTGCTTTCTCTGTCCTTCAGACTTCCTGACCTTAACAGGCCCTGGGTAGTTTGCTCTGTTGTGTCACTTTTAAAAAGTAGAAACTCAAGTCTTGTGATAAGACTAACAGATGAGACAACTAAAGTATAATGTGCTTACACAGCTTTAACTCTAGATGTGGCAGTCTGTCTAGCCCAAGTATGTATTGAAAAACAAGAAAGGGTACCTAGCCTGGCTTTAAGGGAAGAGAGTGGCTAGTAGACCTGGGAACAGATAATCCTGAAGGCAGGAAGAAGTGAATTGGAAAGGAAAAGTGGGCCAGGCCTCCTGAGTATTAGTACCCTCAAGTGCAAGATGGAGAGATTGAGTAGAGAGGCTGAGAAGAGCTGCAGAGGGGGTGTGTGTGTGTGTGTGTGTGTGTGTGTGTGTGTGTGTGTGTGTGTGTCTGTGTGTGTGGCTGCAGGGTAAATGGGAAGGAATTGTGATAGTTGGGCTTCAAGAGGAGATCAAAGAAATTATCAAAGGACTTTTTAAAAAATATTAATTTTAATGACCTTTTAAAAATAATACATATTTGAGTCATTTATAGCTAAATGGATGCATACTGAGGCCATACTCAGGGAAAATAGGACACATGTATAAATACTGAATTGTTTCTCTGGTGTAAAAAGCTAAAAGTGTAAATAAGTTTCAAATTGTATAATTGATAATGTGAAATAGAAGAAGGCTAAAGGAGTAGGGGGTGTGGGAAGGGTAGGGGAAAGGAAAGAAGGGAAAAGAAAAAATACAAGAAAAGGAAAAAATGGAAACAAAGTCTTTCTAAATAGAGAGGGATGGAGGGGATGAAGGGAGGATGAAGGGATGAAGGGAATGGAGAAAAAATAAGAACCAAGATACATCGTGTAAAGGTACAAGATCTCAATGATGACTGCAACTGTACTGTATAACCTAAAAAGTAGCAATAAACTTAGTGAAAAAAATACATATTTCAGGGCCAGGGATTTAGCTCAGTGGTGCTGTGCCTGCCTCACAAGAGCAAGGTCCTTAGTTCTATCCTTGGTACTGGAAAAAAAATATTTCAAAGGAAATACAGAAACTACTAATAAATATAAGAAAATTATTCTCACTCATCATTGCAACTAAAAACACCTATGGGATGTGTTTCTTTTCTTTTAGATCTTTTAGCAGGCAATGTGTAATTTCCCCTTCAAACATGGAAAGACATTGTACATTTTTATTTTTAACTGCCCAAATTAGAAATGTCTTTCATTTCTGGGCAAAACTTCATACTTTGATTTTTTTAATGTTTAAAAATTACAGTAAGGAAGAAATTCAGGAGAGTAGGAGACAGACTATGTCAGGGGTTATAAAATTTAGTGCCAAGATGGATGCATAGAGAAAGAAAATGTGGTATATACATATATAGATATAATGGAATATTATTCAGCCTTCAAAGGAAAGCCTGTCAATTGCAACAATGCAAATGAACCTGGATGATGTTTCACTAAGTGAAATAAGCCAGGAACAAAAGACAAATACTATATGATCTGACATATGTGTAGAATCTAAAAAAATTTTAATGCACAAAAGCAAAGAGTAGAATGGTGGTTGCCAGAGGGTTGAGGGATGGGATAGAAAATGGGGAGATGTGGGCCATAAAGTACGAAGTTCTATTAGTGATACAGATGAATAAGTTCTGGGGGGTCTAATTACGTTATGGAGAATTTAGTCAGCAGTACTGAAATTTGCTAAGTAGTTTTTAAATGTTTTCACCACGTGTGTACATAATAATAAATATGTGAGATGATGGATGTTTGACTATGGGAATCATTTCCCAATGTACACATATATCAGATAATCATCTACACCTAAATAATATAGTTTTTTTTGTCAATTATACCTCGCTAAGTCTGGGAAAGAAAATTTTAAGTGCTAAACAGTACTTTACAGCTAAAGATGGGACTCTTGAATCATCTAAACTGGCCATGACTCCAAACAGGCTTGGGTAATGATCTGAGGATAGGCATCTACATTATTTCATACATATTGGTAAAATAATTTCATGTATGAATGGGCATTTAAACCAAGTTTTGGTTGAACATTTCTTTAGCATTTGTCATAGGATGTAGAAATTTTAGAACTTGACTATTGCTTTGCCGTTGTTCTCTGTGAACATTTTCATACATTATCTTCTCTGAGCTTTTGGGGAATAGTAAGTTTTCCTATATCTGTGGGATATCACCTAGCATAGTGGATTTTATCTAGAAGCCTGTTTTGTTCAAGACATTGGTTATTTTCACAGTTGTGTCTGTTCTGCCTGTAGTCCAAGCTCACCTTAACCCCATGGGTTGGACTTCGGAAGATCAATGTGTCCTACTGGTGCTGGGAAGATATGTCTCCATTTACAAATAGCCTACTGCAGTGGATGCCATCTGAGCCTAGCGATGCTGGCTTCTGTGGAATCTTGTCAGAACCCAGTACTCGAGGGTTGAAGGCTGCAACCTGCATCAACCCACTGAATGGCAGCGTCTGTGAAAGGCCTGGTAAGGATACAGGTGAATTAGGTGTTCCAGGAAGTTGACTGAGGGAGAAAGTGAGGCAGACTTACTTATTGAGACGCTTGAAATAATCATGAAAATAGATGGGGTATTGACTTCAAGCATGTTTCAAATATAACTTAGAATTTAAAAAAAAATAATCTGAGCCAGGCATGGTCGCGCACGCCTTAATCCCAGCACTCAGAAGGCTGAGACAGGAGGATCGCTGTAAGTTCGAGACCAACCTTGGCTACATAGTGAGTTCCAGGTCAGTCTCAACTACATAGTGAGATAAAAAAAAAAAAAAAAAAAAAAAAAAAAAAATCTGTGGCTCTGACTAGTTTGAGCCATAATAAGACAAAAAGTTAACTAACATTACTCAAAGAACCTAGAGTCCTAATTAACATTGAGATGGATTGATTTGTTGACCATCAAAAATGTTGAGAATTACTCTGATAGGGAAGGGAGGAAGGGGTGAAAGGAGGGCAGGGATAAAGGGAAAAAATGAGAACCAAGACCTGTCATGTAAAGGTATAAGATCCCAACAATGAATGAAACTGTACTGTATACCTAAAGTACCAATAATAATAAGACAAAAAGTTAACTAACATTACTCAAAGAACCTAGAGTCCTAATTAACATTGAGATGGATTGATTTGTTGACCATCAAAAATGTTGAGAATTACTCTGATAGGGAAGGGAGGAAGGGGTGAAAGGAGGGCAGGGATAAAGGGAAAAAATGAGAACCAAGACCTGTCATGTAAAGGTATAAGATCCCAACAATGAATGTAACTGTACTGTATACCTAAAATGTACCAATAAACTCAATGAGGAAAAAAAAAGAATTATTCTGAAAGACAAATGTCTTGGTGTTGGCAGAGAAATGCTGTGTAAGAAAGAACAGAAAAGTAAGCAAGCCACTGCATGGACAGTATTCTGAAAGCTAGTGTCAGTGGGGAGAACATGAGAGCAGTTCTGACTGAAGCCAGAAGTCAGCCTCAACTGTGCCCAGGCTGTGGCAGAGTACTGAATAATCAAATGGTTTGAATAGCTTCTTAGATTTCCTTCTCTCTTGGGACTAAGTTTAGGCTCCATGAAGGACTAGAGGCAGCCTTGGTAGCCTGCGGATGAGCACAGGCTTCTTCCCGCACAGGATCCATAAGCAATAGGGGCAATTGTGGGTTATTTTAGAAGGCTGGACCCCACTTACATCATGACCAATTTTTGGAAGGTAAATATAGGAAGTATAAAAGAGAATTCCTAGCATTGTAGGAGTCACCTTAAACAGGATTTCTAACCTCCTGTATGGAAGCCTGTTTGAGTCCTAAATGCTTTGATGAATTTAATGTATTCTATGATTCCTCCCCCTAAAATTACCAACAGGATATTACAAATTTAGGTGGATTGTAAAACCCCTGAAGTTCATCCCAGATTCCCTATATTCGAAGGGATTTAGGGCCCTACTTTTGTGGAGGTATTTTCTTGTTCCCCCATCTTTGTCCTTAATAATTTTTAAACAAGTCAGTTTTTTCCCAACTATCTAAGTATACTTGACTAAACAGTACATGAAGACATTGAAGTTTTCTGTTTTCTTCCTCATATACTTTAGTGCCTAAATTGATCACAATCTGCATTTGAAGTCTTTGACCTTAGCTGGCATGGTGGGTGATCTGTGTCCCTCTTGGGTTTAATCCTCAGCAAACCACAGTGCCAAGCAATGCCGGACACCATGTGCCTTGCGGACGGCATGTGGGGAGTGCACCAGCAGTAGCTCCGAGTGCATGTGGTGCAGCAACATGAAGCAGTGTGTGGACTCTAATGCCTATGTGGCCTCCTTCCCTTTTGGCCAGTGCATGGAGTGGTATACGATGAGCAGCTGTCCCCGTAAGTAAAAAGGGAGCACCCTGTGTGAGGCAGCAGCACTTGCAGTGCTCTCGCCTTTGAATGTTCTGTGGATTTGAACAAGTTGAATGCACCTTCTGCCTCACTCTCTACAGAGGCTTTTAAGCTAGTCCTGACTGATGAGAACATACATATAGAACAAGGCACAATAACACATTTAAATAAATCTACAGCCGGGGATTTATCTCAGAGGTACCACCACCTACCTCACAAGTGTGAGGTCCCAAGTTCAATCCCTGGTACCAAAAAGCAATCAGTCAATCAATCTAGAATAGATCAGAGTACAGAGGGACTTTCCAACTTCATTGTTATATTGTTCAATCCATGTAATGCCTCTAATCTAAATCTCTTAATTTGTAAAGTTAGTGCTTCACATTTATTTTAGGATCTCTGAGATCCCACTGTCTCCAGCATCCTGGGGTTGAAAGAAGAGTGGAGGGGTTCCCTATTATGTATTGGGCAAAACATTTGTTGGGCTCTTTAAAATTAGTAATCTCATTTAAATGGTCACTATAATATAGTAATTTTGACTCAAAGAAGCTATGTAGTCTTTTAAAGAAAGGTAATTTAAATACAGTGAATTCAAATCTACCTGTGATAGTGAAATGTAGCTTGTGCTTTTTTGTAGCTGAAAATTGTTCTGGCTACTGTACATGCAGTCATTGCTTGGAGCAACCAGGCTGTGGCTGGTGTACTGATCCCAGCAATACTGGGAAAGGGAAGTGCATAGAGGGCTCCTATAAAGGACCAGTGAAGATGCCTTCTCAGGTCTCTACAGGAATCGCCTATCCACAGCCCCTTCTGAATTCCAGCATGTGTCTAGAGGATGGCAGATACAACTGGTCTTTCATTCACTGTCCAGGTAAGATGGCCACTCTTATGTATGCTAGGCCAGCACTCTGCCATTAAGCTACATTCCCAGCCCCTATCTCAACAGTTATTTTATAGTTTTCAGTGTATGTGTCATGTATTTATATTTACATTTTCATATAAACTGTTTTGTTCTTCATACTATTGTTAGTGGGATTATCAACTTGATTTTCTAATTTTTCATTGTTCGTATGTAGAAATACAGTTGATTTTTTTCATGTGGATTTTGTATCATGCAACATTCCTGAACTTTTTCTACTAGTGATTTTGTTTGGTTTCAGTGAGTTTCTTAGGATCCTCTACATGCCATCTGGTACTAAAGATAGTTAAACACTTTTCTTTTCAAATGGAACAACTCTTTCTTTTGGGGGACCTAAATGCCCTGACAAGATATTCCAGCATAATGTTGCATAAAATGGTTAAGAGTGAGCATAATTGTCTTATTCCTTTCTTAGGGGATATAACTAAGTTTTTCTCCATTAAGTATGGTATTAATTTAGGTGTTTCATTCATGCCCTTTATCAGGTTGAGAATGTTTCCTTCTGGTCCCACTTTTTTTGAGGACTCTTTTTTTTCAGCTTTAATTGAGTTTATTGGTACATTTTAGGGATACAGTACAGTTACATTCATTGTTGGGATCTTGTACCTCTACATGACAAGTCTTGATTCTCATTTTTTTCCCTTACCCCTATCCTCCCTTCACCCCCTCCTCCCCTCCCCATCTACAAACACTTTATTTTCATCTTTTCATTATCTCACATTTTTTTCTTTTCCCTTATTACCCTTCCCCTACCCATCTCACCTTCCCTACACCTTTAGCTCCTTTCTTCTTATTTCTAAATGACAGTAATCTTATTAGGATCTTATGTTTTATTGCATATTATTCACACCAGGGAAACTATTTGGCATTTACACATGTGTGACTTATTTATTTCACTTAGGAGTATATCTTCAATATGTATCCATTTTCCTATGAATGAATCTATTTTCTCGTTCTTTATGGCTGAGTAATACTCCATTTTATAGAAAAACCACATCTTCTTTATCCAGTTTCCAACGGATGGGCAAATGGGCTGTTAAGGACTCTTGTCATTAGAGGATGTTGGATTTTGTCAAATGCTTTTCCTGTGTCTGATGAGACAGTTGTATGACTTTGTTCTTTATTCTCTTAGTTCTTTGTATTACATTAATCTAAGGATGTTGAATCAGCCTTGCATTCCTGGGACACAAGCACATTTATAATGTGCTATATTTTAGTATATTTGCTGCTGAAGCAAGCACTATAATGTGCTAGATTTTAATGTGTGCTAGATTTCAACTTACTAGTTGTGGATTTTGTGTCTATATTCATGAGGAATATAGAGTTATAGTTTTCTCGTAATGACTGTCAGGCTATGGTATTAGGATAGTATAGTACTGGCCTTGTAGAGTGAGTTGGGGCATATTCCTTCCTCTACTGTTTCCTGGAAGAGTTAACTAATTGGCATTAATTCTGCTTTAAATTTTGATCGAATTAATCAGTGAAGCCATCCAGTCCTCAGACTTCTTTTGGAAAGATTTTAAATTATTGACATATATATTTTTATATATATATTATATATATAGTCATTTATATATATGTCAATAATAGTATATATACTATATAGTATATAGTATATATATCTTATATAGTGTGTATATATATATATATATATATGGAGAGAGAGAGAGAGGAGAGAGAGAATGCTTACAGGGATGAGGGCTAACAGATGAGTAACAGAATACTTACAAAGCTATAAAAATTTGCCAGGATGGTGGAAAACTACATCATGTTGATCAGCTAAAGCACATCTGCACAATCAAGAGATTCTGCTCATAGTGGCACAGGTTGTTCAGCTTTGCAGTGCACATTGAGCAGTCCTGAGAGGCTCAGAATGCTTTCTAGTTGTAAAGTCCTGTATGCCACAGGAGCTTTAGTAATCTTGCCTCTGGAAACATTTAAATAAGACTTTTTCTAGTAAAGAAAATTCAAAGCAAATAAACATTAGAAATGTAAGGGGATAATCAAATGGCTGTTTTAATTCATCAAAATAATTTTGCTATTTAAATTTTTATTTATGATAGATGAAATAATTTTGATCTAAGTTAAATGTCAAAATTGAATATTAATATCAACAAAACTGTAAAACAATATAGAAGAATAATGGAAAGAAAGGTATCAAATGTGAGCAATGTTCTCTGTAATAGGGTTATTTATGACTTTCTCACTCCTTGTATTTTATAGATACACCATCATGAACTTGTTATTCTTTATAAAAGACAACTGTTTTCCTTTTTGACATTTTAATCTTATTTCTCAAACTACTTTTTAGTGATCTAGGTTTTGTTTGTTTGTTTTTGTTTTGTGCCTATCTTCTGGGTTTTGGTTTTTTGAGACAGGATCTTGCTATTTGAAAGAGTCCAGGCTGGCCTTGAGCTCACTGTTTATCCCAGGCTGGCCATAAACTCACGGCAATCCTTCTGCCTCAGCTTCCCAAGTGCTGGGATTACAGGTGTTTGCCCCCATTCCAGACCTAAATCATACGGTGTTACCCATGTGGGCTTTGAAGTCCTGGGTTCAAGTGTTCCTCCTGCTTCCACCTGCCGAGTATTTGGTGCTCTAGGTGTATGCCACCATGCCAGTTAGTTTTGGTGATTTTATATTTAGAGGCAATAAAGAACTCAGAGATAGAAATAAATCTTGTCAGATTTGCTCCACACAGCTCTGCCATGGGAGACCTCTTGAAAAATTCTTTTCCTTTCAGCTTGCCAGTGCAATGGCCACAGCAAATGTATCAACCAGAGTATCTGTGAGAAGTGTGAGAACCTGACCACTGGCAAGCACTGTGAGACCTGCATATCTGGTTACTATGGAGATCCCACCAACGGAGGCAAATGCCAACGTAAGTCATGTTGGTCAGGTTCACCACTGGGAATAGGTAGAAGCAGTGCTTCCATTGCACTTGAATGTCTCGGAGGGAAAGGCCACTTGGTTTTAGATGCTGTATTTCTTGTTTAAGTCATACTTGTCAGAAGCTCAGATGAGCTGTGGGTCTCAGACTAGTGTGTTAAAGTTAAAAGCCAGCCTGGATGGAAAATTTTGTGAACAGACATATGGAAAATTTTCCAGGGAGGAAAATTTTGCTAACAGACATATGAGAAAGAGTTAAGGTTTTAATCTCAGTCAGCAGTGGTGTAAGCAAAGGGTCCAAACCAGAGAAAGTGCTGACTAGCTGTTCCTTTCTCCAGTTGAGGTTTGATGGATGGAGGGTCAGTACTGATGGGAGGATGTCGTCTCACCATGGAGTAGCATTGTCAGTAGCGTTGCGGACTCTGAGGTTGTAGGGAGGGAGAGAAGAAAGAGTTAGGAATGAGGAGGTCTTAGGCACTAAGTCAGAGTGAAGACAGTATCTTCAGGGTTTCTCCTTCTCTAAAGAGGCCTTAGCAGAGACACTGAAGAACTCTGCCCAAGGCCTGAGATTAAAACACCCAGGAGTAGATGATAACTGACCAAAGCATGGGGCAGGCTGTGACTGCAGGTTCGAGTGCTGTTCCAGAGTCTGAGGTAGGGAAGGGAGCTGTCCAGCTGAGGTCACCAGGGAAGCTTCTGCAATGGCCTGCAGATGCGCATGAAAAATCACACAGATTTTTAACCAAGAGCTGCACTCCTCAATATTTCTAGTATTTTTAAAGATTTAAGTAGTCCTCATTTGTGTCAGATAGAAGTCTGCAAGCTATAGGACATTTTATTGTTAGAACATGTTATGTTTTTATTTTATTTTATTTTTTGCGGTACTAGGGATCAAACTCAGGACCTTGCACTTTTGAGGCAGGTGCAGTGCCACTGAGCTAAATCCCTGGCCTGTGTTTTTAAAAATGACAGATAAAAAAAAAATGACAGATGATGTCACCAGCGAATTTATTTTTAAAAATTTGTTCTAATTTCCAAGTGACCCCTCTAGTTGAAGGACCCCTCCGGTTTGAGCAGGAAACATAATAACATACCTCTCCTTACTCCTTAGATCCTACTTCTAGACTCCTTAACAGGCTCCTTCATTACCTGAACAGGACAGTGGTGGTGTTCTAGCTTATGCCCCTTAATCTTTCTGGGGCTCAGTTTCCTCATTTGTAAAATGGGGATTTTAGAGTAGTTTTTTAGATTAAAGCAGTCAGAACAGTGCATTATGTATAGTCAGTACTCAGAAAATGGGAGCAATGATCATTGTCCTTCTGGTGCTGTTTCCCACTACTCTAAAATAAATATCCTGCTCAGATTAAAAGATATTCAACAAAAATATCTTCTCCCTGTAGCTGCATTTCATTTATTAGCTAGTAATCAGAACACCTAATATTACCATGCAGTAAATATATACAAGGAAAATTTTGTTAACAAACATATGAGACATGGGTACCTTTATTATTCTCAAGGTCAAGTAACCTTCCCAAGGACTCACAGTGAGATGTGGCTAAGCTGGGAACCACATTCAGTAGATGTTGACCTTAATTACTGGCCTTAATGTATCTCCAAGTGACCATTTTCATATCTGTAGCTACCATCCGGAAAGATCACATTTTCCTTTGTGACATCCTTAGGATCTTAGTACAGTTGTCTAGAACTTAGAGTTTTATTTTTCAGAGTCCCAATCCACAATAGAAAACATAGTTTTTTAAAATGCCATGAATGGTATCAAATCTTTAATGCTTTCCTCTTAAAATTATATAGTCCTTAGCTAAGGACTATAGTAGCCAACCAATGTTGTACTGAATGTTTGGGTTTTTATGCTTTTGGGTTTTTTTGTTGTTGTTGTTTTTTGGGTTTTGTTGTTGTTGTTTTGAGACAGGATCTTACTTTGTAGTTCAGGCTGATCTTGAACTCACTGTGTACCCCAGGCTGGCTTTGAACTCAGTGATTTTCCTGCCTCAGCCTCCTGAGTGCTGGGATTATAGGTGTATGCCATCACAACTTCAATGCTTGGTTTTCTTTTTTTAAAATTTGATTTTATTGGTACATATTACAATACATGAAGTCTACATTCATCTTAAGGAGTAGGAACATATATATAACATTTTGATTCTTTTTATTCCCCTTCACATCTCCACCCACTTCCCTCACTCTGTCTCCAGATCTCCTTTCTCTATTTTCATCATTATTATTAATATTATTTTTAGTTCATATTTATGACTTTGTTATTGGGAATATTTTAAAGTTCATATTTATGACTTACGATATTACATTTATTGTAGGTATGGAGTACATGTACATGGAACATCTTAAGTCTTTTATTTCCCCTTCTTGTCCCCACCTCCCCTCAACCTCATTCTCTTGGGCCCCTTCCCATTTGCAAAATATCTATCTCTCTGTTTCCTTCTATTGAACTTTTATTTTGCTCTTTATTTATACTTTGCCTTCAAATGAGAGATACTATGCAGGCCTCTGCTTTTAGCTGAGACACTGCCCTAACCTCCACACACAACAGAGCAACAGTAGAACTGATATTTCTCAGTGCAGCACACATGCTGGTAATCTCTGCTCTGTTATGGTTTATAGGTTTTTTTGGAGTGATTCATTTTTATCCACAGAATTTATTTTTAAATTATGCTTTTTTTCCAGCCTAGTGACTAACTTATTAATAGGAAAAGAGTGCAGAATGAAAAGGTATTGAGCACAAAGACTTTCACTCAGTTTGACTGGAGTCAAATTGTACCTTAGCTCATCTGTGTGTAATGGATGAAGACAGGTAGAGGTGCTGCACAGGAGGGAAATAGGAAGAGTTGTTTTCAGTAAACTCAAAGGAGAAGGCAAGGTAAGGATGGTCGGTGCTGAAGGGCTGTGAAATACTCACCCTGCTATGGGAGTCTCTTCTGCTTCTGAGCCCAGTGTCATTTCAAAATACTAAAACAAAGGGCAGTCTCCACTAGAACAGGGAGCTAGCATCTGTCACACTGAAGATGCTTTGTAAATATTTACTGAACAAATGAATCATGATCCTGAAAAAAGAGAATCTATCAAAAAGATCAAGAGTGATTGCTTCAGGTAGCAGTGGGAACCAGCCTTCTCTTTCCTCTGTCCTTTGATTTTAGTTTCTTTACTGTTGCCTCATATCATTAGAACTCATTAGTTGAAAAATCATGAATCGTACCATTAAATGCTCTTATTTTACCTGTCTTTCCTGCCAAATGCAATGGAGACAAAGTTATTTGTTTTGGGAAAAGTCTAATAGTAATTTTCTTGAGCCAGTGTGACCTGTGTTCCTTTTCCTCTTCCCTAGCATGCAAGTGCAATGGGCACGCGTCGCTTTGCAATACCAACACGGGCAAATGCTTCTGTACTACCAAGGGTGTCAAGGGGGACGAGTGCCAGCTGTGAGTACCACACTTTGTACCCAGGGAGGAGTGGTGCTGGGGAGGTGCTTGAAACCTACGAGCCACCCTTTCTCTGTGCCTTGTTGCCATGGGCTCTGCAGATCCTTGGGTTGATTAGTTTGAAATTTTTCCCTTTCTCCTTCAGATAGGTCAACCCCTAAACTCCCAAAATGAGTGCTCATTAGCATAATTTTTAATGGCTGTTTAAGTCACTTTTTTTTTAAGTTTGAGTGATAACTGAAATTTCCTGCCTTGCTGATTTTCATTAGTCATTATAACTTTGGCAACTTCTCAGTTTTTATCATGTTAAGAAAGTGTACTATTTCCTGAAGGATAGAGTTGGAAGAGGTGTTGGTCTAGTGACAGTATTTATTGGACGTTTTGGTTGTGTGATGGTAGAGATGATCCTTGGGCCTTTCACACACTCCACCTTGTTGTAGCACTTACCCTAGTGCAGTGTATTTAACATCTGGGAGAAAGTTGGGAGCCCCTGTTCATAAGGATGCAGATTCAGCATCAGACAGACTTGGGCCTTCAGATCTGGCTCTGTCTCCAGTGCTGTTGAGGCAAATCACTAACCATGCTGAGTGAGCCTCAGATTGTCCATCTATCAATGGGAAGGACTGGCAATAATTGTTTTCAGTAATAGTGAATAAAAATAAGATTATCCCGTAATTAACATATACCTGACTACCTCACTGAAAATCTTCATGGAACACATGCCTGCATGCAGGCTTATTCATTTGAGACTTAAGAGAGAAGTGTTCAGTATGAAAACATTGAACTGATACAAGCAGGTACATCATTGGTAAGCTGTTTTTATTAAAGCACAAAGATAATACTGCCATCAGTGATTGAGACATTGATAGTATTATTCAGCAGGGAATTGGTCTGTCTACACTTTGTGATGTACCAATATATATGGTTACTAGTTTTGTGCTGACCTAAAGTCAGAGAAGTCAAATCAAAGAGAAGTCTAATCAAAGATTAAATTTTAACTTTTTGATCCAGATTCCTTGAAATAGAAAAATGTGATATAGCAAAATTAGTTGCTCTTGTTCTCTGAGGTAGCATCCTGTGAAAAACTTTCAGGTCTTTTCAAGACACTCTAGATATCAGCAGGGGCCAAACATCACCCCAGCTAGAAGGGCAGAATCCCTAGCTTATGTCTGGGAAAAGTGCTTCACACATGCCTTCCCCTCTTTTCTCATACTTCTTTTTATTTTTTATTTTTTATTTTTTTTGAGATACCAGGGATCAAACTCAGGATCTTGTGCTTGCGAGGCAGGCTCAGTGCCACTGAGCTAAATCCCCAGTCCTCTTTTCTCATACTTCCAAGCTATCACTCTTGCTTCATTGGCTTTGTGAACTGGAAAACTGGGTTTGCTGATGTTTGGTAATGATAATCTGTGGGGAGATTTTAATAATTCCTTTTAGATGGAATATGGAGAAGTAATAGTTCTTTTTAAATATAACAGTTTTTCTTCAGAATGATGAAAACTTGTTGAAGGGTTTTTGTTTTTAAGGTGATTCTTAGTATTTAGATTTCTCTTATGTTTATAAAGAATAGGATCAGTTTACTCAGGGAGAATTGAAAGAATTGCAGGAAAGAATTGAAAAATGAATATTTGAAAAATGTTTTAACTGTATTTTTAGAATATGTAGTACATGCAAAAGTTGAAAGTATGCTTTTCATTGTAATAAATGGTGTCTAGATTTATTACAGTTGAGTTTATCTCATGTGCTTTAGCAGCTACCTATCCATTGTGGTTTTTTGAGACAGAGTCTCACTATGTAGTTGAGACTGACCTGGAATTCATTATGTACCCCAGGCTGGTCTCGAACTCACAGCAGTCCTTCTGCTTCAGCCTCCCCAGTGCTGGGATCACAGGTGTGCGCCACCATAGCCATTGTTTTTATATACTTGGTGGTGTGCACTGCCAGGCAATCAACATGAAAATTCCTGCAAACTCTAGATAGTCTAACTGATCTGAAGAGTAGTGAAGAATGTAATTATCGTGACTTAGAACTATTTGTAGTTTGTATCAGTCTCTAATTTTAGAATGAATGTAGATTTGGTTTTAAAGAGAAAATAATTCTACTCTTTCTTCTTCTAGTTGTGAGGTAGAAAATCGATACCAAGGAAACCCTCTCAAAGGAACATGTTATTGTAAGTGTTTTTTGTAATTCTTATTTGAAGAAGCAAGGCGGTTCCACAAAACTCCTTTTTCTTTAACATGGTTTGGGAACAGTAAGTGCTAGAGGAATATAGCAGCAGTGATATCGTAGCAGCCATGGAAGAGTCTCCTACAAGCACTATGTTAAGCTGGTTTACTTGTGGATGTGGTTTATGTTAGTGTGTCCATAGAAGATAGGAGGGGACAGTGTACAGACATGAGTCTCTGGCTTTTCTTAAGTTCTTCTGAAACCTTACTTCATTTGCCATTGCCTGATTGAGGTTTCCATTTTATATTTCAGGATATAGATAAGAAACAATATTGTTAAAATATAGATTGAAGTTTCATCATTCTCTTTGGAATTGATTTGTGTTAACCTCTTTAGGAACAAATAATATAAAATAAAGTATCAAATAATTATCTTAGAGTGAAAGGTGAATGCGGCAGGCCTTATGGGTAAATGCATTTTCTCCCTGTATGAGAACCCATGTGGTAGGCCAGATTATGGAATAAGAGAAATGCAGTTAATGTTTGGCATATCTGATTATATATATAGTTGCTCTGCTAGGCTGAATAACATCGCATTTGTATTGTCAAAATTTATGTCCACCTGGAATCTGTGAATATGATGGAAGTAAAACTTCTTGGTGTTGGCTAGAGAAAAGAGCTCATAGATGATATAATTTATAAAGCATAATTCATAAAAGAAAAGGTTAACCAGTAAAACTATGAAAACATATTTTTTAAAAACTATCCAAAAAATAAAAAACAAGCCAAAGTCTAGAGAAAAATCTTTACAAATCATAATATCTGATAAAGAGCTTGAATCTAAAATTTAGGAAAATTCCAAGCACTAAAAAAGATAATTCCATTTAAAAACAGACAAAGATTGGAAAAGAATTTCATAAGTGGATAATAAAGACTTTAAAAAAAATACTAGCATCGTTAGTCATTTGGGGTAGGTATATTAAATCACGGTGAGATGATCAGCATCCCATAGAATCAAATAGTCTAAAATGACTAGAATCAAGAATAAAACCATAGTCTACTAAAAAACTGTTAACTTGGTCTGCTTCTGCATTCACGCTGTTGTAAGAAGTCTTCCTTGGTTAGATACATATAAAATACCCAGTCTCACCAGACAGAAAAAGAATGGAGTGTTTCAATAGCCTTTTCAGGTAACTGTGGACAGTATCGTTTGAGTTTTTTACCCTGCAGTACTGGGGATTGAACCCAAGGACTTCACACTTTGTTACATCCCCAGCCATTCATTCATTCCTTCCTTCATTCAATATTTTTAACCAGCGTCTTGCTAAGATGTTCAGGCTGGGTTCAAACTTTGATCCTCCTGTCTCAGCCTCCCAGAGTGATGGTATTATAGATGTGTGCCACTGTGTCTAGCTTGGAGTGTCTTTTGATGCAATACTGAAAATGGATAACTGGTCATTTTTTAAATGTTCAAATAGGGAAGTGAAAAACTCATCAGTGAAATGTGTCATCTGGCACATTAAGATGTTTGTGAGTTTAAAAGCCAACACCAAATTTTAGCAAGGATGTTGAGAGACTGGATTGGGGAAACCAAACAATTAAAAATTAAATTTATTAATAATTCCTCAATTCCCCTCCCCTAGACCCTAGCAACCATCTGTTTTATTTTGTTTCTGTATTAACTACCCTGGGTATCTCGTTTAAGTGAACTATGTGATATGTGTCATTTTGTGAGTAGTATTATAATTGGTATAATGTTGTCAAGGTTCATCCATGTTATAGAATATGTCTGAATTTTCCTTTGATGGCTGAGTAATATTTCATTGTACTACATAAAATTTTTCTCATCCATTTATTTGTTAGTAGACACTGGGGTTGTTCCATCTTTTGACTATTGTGACTAATACTGCTGTGAACATGGGTATACAAATGTCCATTTTTTAATATGGTTTTTAGTGCATACCAAATGTTTTACTTCCATTTCAGCTTTTATGTATTTCACAGCATCTTGAGGCATTTCATGTGTTACAGTTTCCAACATTGATGTCAATGCTGGCATTCTGTCCAATATGTTTCACACTTGCCAAGACCCTCACTATATGTTTGGACCTAGTTCTAACATTGGATCATTCCATTTGCTTGTGTGACCATTTCGTATCATTTCAACTAGTCCAATATGTACTCATGTTGCTGTTTTCTCCATCATCTGAATCAGGGAGGTCTTAATTCCCTGTGCCTGTTTTGGTGGATTCTTGCTCCATTTCACTGTTACAGGAGCTTTATCTCATGTGGCCAGTGTCATCATCACTTTTTTTTTTTTTTTTGGTACCAGAGATCAAACTTGAGACCTTGCCCTTGGGAGGCAGGCAGAGGAACCACTGAGCTAAATCCCCAGCCATCCTGATGTTTCACTTTTGACCTTCTCCCAAACTTGCAAATCTGGTCTTTCATTGTGCTGAATTGGGTACTTCTACCAGAAAAAAATCAAAAGAAATTTAAAAAAAAAAACCCTAAATGCATACATGTTGCTGCTTTGGAGCTCCTATATACACCTTGCCTTTCATTTACCCAAGTGGGTGAACCCATAGATGGGCTCCTGCTGTCCTCATGCCCAGCTACTATGAGCCACACCCACATTCCATTATGTAAAGTACATGTTTACCTAACAGAAGAATGGTGTGATGTATTTTACCCCTCTCCCATGCTCAGGTAAACATACGCAAAAACTGTTACATGGAGCATTATGTGGATAAATGTCCCGGTTTGACACTTTTGCACAGGTGCACACACCTTGCCATTAGTCATACTAAATGGGTAAACAAATATTCCTTCTTGTATGTCCCCTAAGTGCAGCTACTGAGATGCACTGCACAGCCTGCTACTATTACACTAAAGTACAAATTTACAGTAGAAAAATGGGATAGGTTGTTGTAATACAGTGTCATACCCTTCTTATTAAATTATGCCAATTTGGAGTAATAAGCTCTCTTTCAAATTATATCACTACAGTCTGTATGTGCTTTCTTCCTTTCTGGAATAAAATAATCAAGGCATATATCCCTTACTCCAGAGCTAGAATGAGCCATTTTTCCATGGAGTCCTGGTTTCTGTCACACTATCAATTTAAATCTTTGTGTCTTTTAACAAAGCCTAACATGGTAGACAGTTAATATTGTAGGTAACATTGGAGACAAAATCACAACTAGGGTCTTGATATAAGAAGGATTTGATGGGTATTTCAAATGAAATAGTACTGCCAAGAGACTTGGTTGGTTTCTTTTGAAAATATTGGGTGTGAGTCAGAGTCCTTTCTTGGCTATTGAATTTATGAACAAAGCAATTTATATCCAGAGATCTGTTCCGTTTTTGTTTTGTTTCAGTTTTTTAAATATGCATTTCTTTCTTTTCACAGATACTCTTCTAATTGACTATCAGTTCACTTTTAGCCTGTCACAGGAAGATGACCGCTATTACACAGCCATCAATTTTGTGGCTACTCCTGATGAAGTAAGATTTTTTAAAGTTTTCTCATGTGTTCTAAATGTGCATGGATCCTTATCTGGGTCATCATGGATGAAGCTGCTGTCTCAAAGTAGAGTACATGGGTTAATCTTTGGAGGCACAGCAGATGTTACAGTCTACATTTTATCTCCTTTCTATCCAAAAGGCAAGATCGTGGCTGTAATATTGTTGGGATTTGATGATGCATTGCCTCCACACATAACGGTTTGCTTGTCAGATCATTGAGATCAGATAGCGGAGCCTAAATTGACTCTGTCAGAACAGGCCAGAGACTTCAAAAATCACCAATAAAGCAATTGTTGATTGAAATTGACAACAGTGACACAGGGACAAGCAGACAGCAAAGGACATGGCAGACTTGACCCCTGTGCTCCTAGAATGAGTCCTTTTCCTCATTAGGAGATAAAACAACAAAGGTTTAGTTGGATCCAACAAGAAGTGGCCAAAAAACAATTTTAGTGGTTAGGATGACTATTTTAAATGTAGATTTATATCTACTGCTATTAATAATAGAGCCCAGCCTGCCAAAAGGCATCACCTGGTAGGAGAAAGGAGCAACACAGCATGGCATTTCAGAGCAACTCCCCAAGCATGAAGAGACACCTAGCAATCTCTTTTCTTCCTAGTCTTCTTGATGCTGGGGATGGGACCCAGGGCTTTACAGGTGCTGAGCCTAAGCTTTACTGAGCTACCCCCCACCCCAGCCTCCTTAATGAAATAGTCATACAGCCAGGGATTTAGCTCAGTGGTGCCGCCTCCTGCCTTGAAAGCACAAGGTCCTAAGTTCAATCCCCAGTACCGATAAAAAAAAAGAAATCGTCATTCAATATCTACTTCAGTACTTAAGGAAATTTTACCACACTTGATGTTATGCTATTTCAGAGCCTCTGTGGAGGTTTCTTCTCATTAACATACACAAAGACATTTACCATCATAAATTCCTGTCACAATAAATATGACAAGTAATACATGGAAAACAATACGGCAGTAACCCAACATGTATTCCTTTAGCAACAAATGTTATCAATAAACATTGCTAAAATTTTTTTAAAAGTAGTGAAATGGGTATGGTGGCACACACTTGTCATCCCAGTACTTTGGAGGCTGAGGCAGGAGAATTGCCTCAAATTTGAAGCTTTCCTGGGCTGTACGTTCACCCTGAACTACATAGCAGGACCCTATCTCAAAAAAATAAAAATAACGAAGAGAAAGTAGTCAAACAGAGTCTAAAATGTGGTATGTTTACAATTTATTTTTTAGTATTTCGTTTGATAAAATGAAAAAATGGACTGGAGAAGATACATTCTTAGGAGTGAATGGCTTTTTAAGTAGAAATAATAAGTGACTGTAAATAAAAATATTTAATGGAAAAACTAGATTGTTTGAGTGGCCATGTGGACTGGAATTTTTCTAAAAGGATTTAAAGTAAGGCCACAGCAGAAGTCCAGTGCATGAAATACGTTATTGCCATGTTATAAGCAAGTAGTTGGAGTGCTCAAAGTTTTAAATAAATAAGCAGAGTAGAATTAATGAGGCAGGGAACGACCATGATAATCTTCGAACCTCCCTTCATTTCCCTATTTGTCTTACGACAGAATATTTAGTAGAGTTACCCAAATGTGTGAGCTCTGTATTTTAAAAAAAAACTCTCAAGATTTAAATTTTATTTATTTTCTCCATGAAAAGAGTTGTTGGAGCACTGGGTCAGGTACTTCCCTAGTAAACATGAACTGCAGGTATTTGGAAAACAGCTGCCCAAAGGTTCCTGATGAATCTAGGTACTCTGATATGGGTCATAAGATGTGAAGCATTGTGCTTTGACAGGGCCTTTTTAAAAGGTATTCTGGCGTTAGGTATCTAATAAAGCATTAAATTTCATTGTGTGTATGTGTGACTGGAAATTGACCCCAGGAGTTGCTCAGCCATAACCCCAGTCATTTGTATTTTTATTTTTTATTTTGAGACAGGGTCCTGCTAAACTGCCTAGCCTGGCATTAAACTTGGAATTCTCTTGCCTCAGCCACTCAGGTATCTGGGATTACAAGTGTGCACCACCACACTCAGCTCCATATACTTTTATGAAAAGGAAGTGAAATTTTTTATGGGGTATATTGCTTGTATTAAGAAAAATTACTTTGTAAATAGGAGCGGGGGGTTAAGGTAGGGCAGGGATATGGGGAAAAAATGAGAACCAAGATCTGTCATGTAAACATACAAGATCCCAATGATAAATGTAACTGTACTGTATACTTAAAAAGTACCAATAAACTCAATTAAAAAAAATTTTTGTTAGAAATTTTTCTATCTTTTCTATAACCATGAGTTTCTCTTAAGAGACTGTAAAACACCCTGTAGTTAGGGAATTTGAGAGGAGTAAAATCTAATTATTGTTTTATTTTAAAATCTAGAAGGGACTGGGTGTGGTGGTGCATACCTGTAATCCCAGCACTTGGGAAGCTAAGACATGAGGATCACTACAAATTCAAGGCCAGCCTGGACTACATAGTGAGTTCAGGGCCAGCCTGGATGGACTACATGGTGAGACCCTGTCTCCAAAAAAAAAAAAAAAAATCTGAACATAGTTATAATTAATTTTCTACTTCTTTGCACTCTCTTATCAGCAAAACAGGGATTTGGACATGTTCATCAATGCCTCTAAAAACTTCAACCTCAATATCACCTGGGCTGCCAGCTTCTCAGGTAAAGACACCTAGAGAAGACATCGTGAGTAGCAATGATGGATTGAGAAGGTGGGAGGCTCTGGAGAGAAACTGGTGGCTTTGTAAACTACCTTTGCTACTTATTAGTTAAGAAATTTAGACCTTAGAATTCTTCTGTAAAATGAGCATTACAGTATTTACCTGCTAGACCTGTGTAGACTAAATTAGGTTATACCTGTGCCCACCATCAGCAGGTTGTTACTGCTCCTACTCTACTGCTACTATTCATACTTCTGCTATGGTCACTGCTCTGGCACTGCTATCATTGTCTACATCCATGCTTCAGAAGTGAAAAATTAAAAGGACTCATAATTTCAAGAAATGAACACATTTTAAATAAAATGAAATTTAGTAGCTACAGAAAACTGCACTTTGAGAATTAAACCAAGCTCTAAAACGAAGTTCTTTTGTCTCACTATGATTCACTAAAGATCAGATGACCCTGGTTGAGTGCTTATGACAGATAACCACCATATGATTTAATAACTCCAGATAGACATGGGTTTGGTTTGAATTCAGCCTGTTACTTATCTGCCCCATGCTGTTGTGCAAGTTGCCTAGGCTTTCTCAGCCATTTTCCTTTTGCATGAAGTGGGACAGCAAAAAACACCTCACTGAATGTAACCTGAGGATTAAACGAGGTTATCAACAATGTACTCGGTGTAATACTTGAAATATGGTTAATTCTCATTAAGGGGTAAATTTTTCATCATCATCAGTATTGCTCTGTTAAAACCTTGTTTTTGTCAGAACACAAACCAATTAGACTGGTGCAAAATACAAACATAAGCTTTACCCACCACTTTAGGGTTCATCATATCTTAAAGAATTATGTAGAATTTGGGAAGACTTTAAAGAAAAAGTCTGAAATATTAAAGTATTTGGAAAAGGACACCATCTCAGAACATGGGAAGATTTGTAGTGACCAGGGATGTGACGGTCTAGGCAAGTGGTGGTGAACCTGTGACACACATGCCACAGCCAGCTCTTTGTTATCTTGAAAGCTCTAAAAGTTTGCCATCACTGGTCTAGACTAGACGCAGGCTTAACTCAAGCATGAGAAAAAGTCCATTTTGTGATTCTCTGTGGTCACTCAAGTTCTTGGCTGTGGGGAACATGGAAGGTGAAAGGAATGTCTGGGAATAGATGGTGTTAAAAGAGACTGGAAAGACTTAACACAGGGTACCTGGTAGCAGAAGATGGGGCTGAGCGACCCTTGAGGCCCTTCCTCCTTCTTGTTATGTTGTGTTGTGTGTCGTATGTGTTGAGTGTTGTTGCTTAGGAGGGTTGCAGGTGTTTCTGGTTTGGGGCATAGGCTTGTGTATCAGCCTGCCCAACTCCAAATGCCAGCTCTAGTATGTGCTCTCCATGTGACCTGAGGCAAGTTACTTAATTTCTTGGAACCTCAGTTTCCTAATTTATAAATAAAAATAATAGAGCTATTGTGAGGATTAAAGGAGATTGAGCTCTTAAAGGCTATTCCTGAAACACTAGAAGTGTTAAGTAAATGTTGCTATCTTTATTACTAGTAAGAGCAGATTTTGTCAGAAAAAAGTCTTTCATTTTCATTCTTTTCTTCCTAACAGCTGGAACTCAAGCTGGAGAAGAGATGCCTGTTGTTTCAAAAACCAACATTAAGGAGTACAAAGATAGCTTCTCTAATGAGAAGTTTGATTTTCGCAACCACCCAAATATCACTTTCTTTGTTTACGTCAGTAATTTTACCTGGCCTGTCAAAATTCAGGTAAGAAGTGCTTTGTGGCCTCATACATGCAAAGATGGTGAAATTGGTCTAGGAAAAGACTAAATTTGCTAATTTGGAATTTGTGGTATATGAAATGTACATTGTTGCTTTGCCTTTGACTTTTAAGATCTGCGCAAAGGAGTGCTGAACATGTGAGCACTGGGGAAATGATTGTGCTAGGGCTGTCTTCTGTCACTTGTGAAGAAAATTTACAAGTACTTTTGAAAGCAAGTTGGCATATAGCAGATTTGGTGATTACAGATATGTTCATTTCTTCATTGAGTAATTGCCGTACTAAAGCAAGTAGTGTTACACAAAGAGCTTTAGCTCTGCAATGAATGAGTGTATAAAGGAAACAAACATGTATAATCAGTGAAAGCCAGTGTGGAAACTGACCTAGGAAAAGACCCGCAAAATACTGTCGGAGTTTAAGGTGGCATAACCAGAGGCCGCATGAAGTGGTGTGTAAGAGCATAGGCCTTGGGGTCTGACAGATGTGAGCTTGATTCACAGCTGCTGTGCAAATCATGGAGCCTCTGCAAGTCTCAGATGATTTGTGCACGTGACCTGAGGAAAGTCTTAAGGGCTCATGTTGCCTGAGGCAGCCTCTGTTGTCAGTCTGCTCTTTTCCTACTTCCAGGGGGATAGGGTGCTGCTTCCATCAAGACCCATGACCCCATTTGGGATCTTTATAATCATATCCTCTGAGCTCTTGCTTAAAACTGCCTGCTCCTTATCGCCTTAATTCTGAGTGAATGTGGAAGAAAGGGACGAGAGGACTTTGAAGGACTGGTTCACTTTTATCCATAGAAATGTAGTTATTGGACTGTGGCTATTAATATGATCAACTTTGGAAGCAAGTCAGCACTGCTCAGCTAGGATGGGTTTGGAACCTAGTTCTGGTGGTTATGACTTCATGCCTTGAGACTGTGGCTGAAGAAGCCTTTTCCTTTTTTGGAAGTAGAGGACTTATGTTGTATTTCTTTTCACAACCCTCTCCTTTTCTGTCTAGATAGTCTACAAATTTATTAATCTTCTGATTTGCTTTTGCATATTCTTTGCATCCTTCCTCAATCTTGTAAACAAGAACCACACTCTCTATATGTTTCCTATTATCTCTCCACCCACAGTAATCTGACATATTCCCTCAACACCCGAAACCACTCTGTCACAGTGAATCCCTTTGTCTGAATTCTTCAGTCTCCTTTTCTTTCTTGCTGCATAATTTGAGTTGCTGTCTTTCTTGCTTCCCATTCCTTTCTTTCCCTGATTCTCTGGCCACTCTTTTTAGGGAACCCTCTTCCTTAGACACTGCAGTTGTCTACAGTTCAGGCCTTGATCCTCTTCTCTCTTCCCTCTACATAGTTTCCCTGGGTGCTTCCAACTCAAGTGTAGGATTTATGGTACTGCTTTCACATGAGCATCACACTAATGGTCTTGACTGCTGCTTAGACATCTCTGCCTGGGTATTCACATGCCCTGCACGCTGGCCTGTGGTTGCTCTTGGGATCTTAGCCCTTAAACTCCTATGTTTTTTTGCTTAGTGAACAGAACCACCATTCACCCTGTTGTACAAACCAGGCCCAGAAATCATTTGCATTCTTGGCATAAACCCAACTTGGGCATGATAATGTTATTTCCCTACTGTACACATTGCTGGGTTCAGCTCCACTAGAACTTTGTGCCTATTTCATGAGTGGTCGCTTTTGATAATTTTCCTTTCTTGTCCCTGTGATGGTATTGATACCAAGGTAAATTAATATAACCTTTAATGGTTATAATTTGAAGAATTTTCTTTCTCATCTTTAGAAAAGATTAGAATTACCTGAATATCAAGAACTTATAAAGTCTTTTGAGTCTAGGGTTTTATTTGTTGAGATGACTTTAGCTACTGAATCAACTGTGAGAATGTTTCGGGTTTTCTTTTCCTATTTGAGTCACTTTTGGCAGTTTTTTTCTAGATATTTATTTCATGTGTTTCCAAATGCATTGCTATAAGCCTGCTCACACTATTTTCTAATCTTTGTAGCATCTGTGCTCATATAGCCTTTTTGTATATCAGTGTCTATAGCAGCACTATTCCGATTAGCCACAAGGTAGAAAAACCCAAATGCCCATCAATAGATGAATGAAAATTTAAAATTGCATATATGGACAGTGAAATATTCAGCCTCAAAAACCAATGTAAGGTATGGGACTGTAGCTTTACAGTACGTTCTTAGCAAGTGCCAAGCCCTGGGCCCTGTCAGTCTTCAGCCCCCTAAGAAGAGGAGGGTTGAAATTCCAATGCATGCTACAGACATGCTAAATGAAATAAGCCAATCACAAAAGGACAGCTATTGTATGATTACACTTGTATAAATTCAAATTCATACAGAGAGGAAGTAGATTAGAGGTTAGCTGGAAGGAACAGAAAATAGGAAGTTACTGCTTCATGGTTATTATAGAGTTTAAATTTAGGATGATGAAAAACTTTGGAAGTAGATAATAGGGCTTGTTGTACAAAATTGTGAATGCAGTTATTGCCACTGAATTATATATTTAATAATGGTTAAAATGGAACAGGACAGAGTGGCATGTATGTGTAGTCCCAGCTACTCAGGAGTCTGAGGCAGGAGGATTGTTTGAATCCAAGAGTTCAAGACCTGCCTTGGCAGCATAGAGAAAAAAAAAAGTAGTGGTAAGAGTTTTAAAATGACAAATTTTGTTTTATATGTCTTGCCACAATAAAAAAAAAAGCTTAAAAAGCTCAAGATGTTTTTGTAGATCTAGACAAACTTATGAAAAAGCAAAGGTTCTAGGATAGTTCTAAATTTTTTGAAAAAGAGGAGTGAAATGGAAGAAATTGTTGCACCTAACATTAAAACTTACTATAACCTAACCAATACATTGTGGTTACTGGTAGAGTGTTATACACACTGATCAGTGGGATGAGCTCATCTGTAGAATCACATAAAGTTGTCCACCTGATTTCTGACAAGGATGCAAAGCAATTCATTGGAGGAAAGGTGGCCTTCTCAACAAACAGTGCTAGAGCACTTAGACAGTCATAGGCAAATATATAAGCTTGGACCTGAATTGCACATATGCAAAAGTTAACTCAACGTGGTTCACAGACCTAAATGTAAAACATAACTGTAAAACTTTTAGAAAAAAAAAAGAGAGAAAATCTGTCTCCTCCATTTCCAAGATCGAACCCAGGGCCTCAAGCATGCTGAGCCGGTACTCTCCTGCTGTACCATGTACACCCTCAATGTGGTCTCAGTTTGCTCATACTTGACACTATCAAGTTACAGACAGATATTTTGTTAGCTTATTCTTATACAAAATACTTGATTTGGACCTCAGTGCATAAAATATATTGACTTATTTTAAGCTGAGATTTGTTTTCATACCGACCATGTCATATTCTGAATCCAGTTGAACAGCAACAAGCTTTGTTGTTCACAGCTAGAAAATGATTAATATTTTCAGATTTTTATTGAGAATCTTGACTTATGCTGCTGATATTTTCCACAGCTAGAAAGAAGGCTGTGTGCACATAAGCAGGCTTTTGTGTGGAGATAGCAGTACTGTTGCCAATGCCGAGTTCTAGTTTTTTTCCTCCCAACACCCCGTAGCTCCACCCTCTGAAAGTCACTGACATGGTTTTAAAGCTATCCTTCAAGAGGGAGGTCTTCCCAAAACTTACTTTAAAGAGTAATAATTTTAAGTTTAAGAATCAAGCAGATGTTGGATTTTTCCCCAATTTTTTGGTGCTCCTTACCTGGGCTGGATGAGTAATTTGAGTAAAATCCACTTAGAAAAGCTGCGTTCAGGAGCAATGGCGTGCTCACCTTTGAGTTTGCCAAGCTTTCCTTGAAAGAGCAGGTAAGTTCTACTAAAAATGTGTCTTTTTACTCTGGTACAAATGATTGCAGTAGCTACAAACAGTGTAACTAACTCTATGGTGCTGTGTGTTCTCAGTACCCTCTCACAAGAGTCAGGTTGACACTGGTTCTGTGTACTTGGACGGAATCTGGCTGGGCACTGTGGAGGGCTGAGCTGGCGTCTTCCTGGGTATATGCATCATGGTCTCAACAAGGGAGGGCTGTGTTTTGCTCTATTTTCCCCAGAGTTGTAGCTTTTCTAGATGTAGTGTAGCTCTTCACACACAGATGCACACAAACACACAAGCACATAGTAACTCTACAAATTGAGCAAAATGTAGATACTTGTTTAATGAAAAGAGTAGGGAAATATCTAAATATGCACAGTAGTGTTGGGCATTCGGTTAAATTTCAATATGACTTTCAATGCAGGCCAAGCCCTTTTGCTGATGAGTTTCATTTTTTAAACCAAAGTAACTGAGCAAATCGAATTCTTAACCGAAATTTGCATAAACATTGGTGCTTTAAAAGTGGTAATGCTAAAACTCCAGTTCCTTCACTCTGAACAGATCCATTTCTTTTTCATAATTAGGAAATTTGAAACTAACTATAAAAAAGTTTAAAAAAATATGACACCAGACTGAAAAGGCCTGTGTGTAGGAGGGAAGTGGGGCTGCTGGGGCCAGTTGCGCCTGGCTTCTAGGCAGTTGCTGCAGGTTAGAGCCCTTCTCTCAGCCCCTGCTCTCTGAAAGCTGTCCTCATCTTCTCCAGTGAGCAAGGTCTCAGCTGCTTTCCACTGTGCCCACAGTTCAGCAGGGTAGGTGTTCAAGATAGAGGAGGGACAGGCAGGGGCAGTGTTTGGGATGGGAGGGTGGGTGGTGGAGTTGGGTTCTGGCTTGTGACTTGCTCTGCAACAGAGGTTGTTATTGTAACTTGGATCTAATATTAAAGCCCTCTCCATGGTGAGTGTTTCATGTAAGAGACCAGTGTTCACAAGGAAAGGCAACACAGAATTTGTTTTGAGAACTGGGCACTCATTTAGATTTTAGAGTGATGTTTATGGGAGCTAACAGGATTGCTGCACTGAGCAAGGGATGTGTGAACCTTTTGTTCACTTGGGTATACTTTTTA